TTTCGGTATCCGGTGAGGTCAATTTACGAATCTCTTCCACTCGCCTTCTCTAACAAAATGAAAGATATGTCAGTAAACCAAAATGCTCTTCTAAACCCAGCTTCTATTCACATCTATTGGCTTACAATTATTACACCTACCTTCATTTCGAGTAAACATGAGGTTAAGAGATTCTCAGTTTGTTGCCATCAGAAGATGACGGCGGATTCCTTCTGGCCATCTTTTGTTTGCCATTGACATTCTATTTTATTCTTTCCCTGAGATTCCCTTGCTGGTAACATCAACCAGAATGTTATTGCGACTCCAAACCATAGCTGACAAATGGGAATCCACCGTGGTCTAATGATAGACCCATTTCTAATTTTGCTTATTTGCTTATTTTCACTCGATATTTTTATATTTCTCTCCTCTGTTCTTACATTTTTATTGAGGCATACTCTTAAAGATCTGAACTAAAATGGACCCATTAATTTTCATAATTTTTTTTTTTCACGCCTACTTGTACAACTAGTCTTCATAGGATATCGAATCCACAGCTTCCCGATCTTGCCTTTCTTCGACGCAACTTTCTCCGCCGTAGTGATGGCCAATTCTCACGGAGTCCTGCTTCTGCCAAAGCCTCCTCTCCCGCCAGCGCAGCTATATGCATCAATACGACGACAACCGCTACAGCCAACAATCAACTCTGTGAAAATTCTACTGAGATCGGCCGAGTAGGATTTAAAAAGACGGTGACCGGAGGTGGTAGCCAGCGTCAGCCTGCCACGCGTCGTCAGCACACCAGTCTTTCTAGTCTTTTCTCACGTCAAAGCGCTTTCTTCCCCTCGGCGGGGCTGGGGCCGACCTCTGATGGTTTTGAGCCTTGCTCGGCTCGGCAAAATGGCATTGCCATCGGCTGGCCTTATCCTTTGGCAAGTAGTCGTCTTCAAACTGCTGGTAGGAATGCTGGAGGACAGGAGGTTGAGCCGCCTGGATTGAGGGAGCAGCGATTACCACACATCCTTTTTGATCTGCAAACATTTGCGGGCGGAAGCCCAGTAGTAGCTCTTAAAGAGCGCCTTGACGCTCAAGCCGCCGCTGAGGCCAGAGCCTCAGCATTTGCTGAAGTCGAGGCTGTTTTAGCGGCGGCAAAGCAGGCAGCCGTTGGTAACCAGCAACAGCGACAGCAGCAACAACACCGAATGCCTACCCTCACTTCTGCTGGACAACCTGACAATCTGTCTGCCAGAAAGGAAAATGGGAGCAAAGACCGGTGCAAGTCGCCTCTTGCCCATTCTGACCAACCATCATCTTCATTTCAGCTTTCATCCCTTGGACGGAATGACGGCTCTAGTGTGTTTGAAGCTGGAAAACCCGATAGTGGGCCGCAAATATCCTCAGTCAGGTAAGTCTGATTGCCCTGTCTTCCGTATCATTCATTTTACCTGGTCGTAAATTGTGTTAACTGTTTTATTAATTACCTGTATTTTGTTGATTTCTACAATAGGGTTTTAGTTTTTTTTAATGAACTTCTCTTTGAGATATCATTATCAGACTATCGGAATTAGGTGATCTTAGCAAAATCACGAAATTAACTTATATTTTCATAGCTATTTTTACAATAAATGATGCTAATTTTATTATATGAATGACAATTAACACCTTTTAAAATTAGGCACTTATTATTTTTATTTAGTTCGGACGGCAAGTGCCCATGGTACATAGCCCAACTTTAATCCTTTACTGGCGAATTGCCATTACTGTTACCAGCGCTCCTCCACACCGCTTTTTCATGTTTTTTATGAAAATTAATCTTTCCTTGTCTTTTGCCTTCAGCCGTTGTTAGATTTTCTTATTGGGTTTTATTTGTATTTGAACTTATGTCTTGCACAATTTGAATTGCATTCATAGGTACTTAATTTAATTTGATTTTACCTTTATCATTACATCTTCGAAATTGCATCAGATTAGAAGTTTGAAAATGTATTTTTTGTTTTTTTATAGCTATCTCTCATAGCTGCTAATTCTTCACACATAATGCTTCATTTTTATCTTGAATCCTACCAATATTATCTCCTAGCCTTTTATACTGACCAAGAAGGTCTGAGGAAGCTGTCAGAATTGCATATTTCAGCTCAGGAACTTGCTAAAATTGCACTGATTTCCATCTACCAATTGTCCAAGCTATCAAAAAGTTGATAGGTCAATTTAGGTGATGGAAGCACTTGTTAAATTTCCTAAAATGAAATGTATTGGTGGCGTTTCGATGCAACCGAACTTCACTTAGCCTTACTTCCAAAATTGCTTTCTCATCTTGTCTGAATTGCGGTTTCGGCCTCACCTGGGTATCAACAGCACCCTCAAAAGTATTCGAAACCGGGTCAAGCACATCAAGCAACCACACTAACACTTCATAAAAGCCATAGGCGCTAGTGAGGCACGGGGTATATTTTACTTTCAAGGTGTGTCAAATTATAATGAGAGTATATATGAAGACCAAGATGTTGTGGCCTCTGGTGTGGTCTCAGTCTCCTTTCGATTGAGAGTGTTCTCGATAAGGCGACTTTTATCTACCATTACAATATACGACCCCACTGCATTATTTTTGAATAGGTCTCAAAGCTATCGATACTTTTTGAACAAATAAATTAGATTGAAAGATACAAACATCTCATTATAAATATGTATTGTGAAGGGCCTTTTGCATCTTCTAAGTCATCTAAAATCTTCTATATCCTAGTCTTGTTAGAGTTGTATCTAATAAAATCTGCAATGCATCTTGGTTCAGAAAGCCTTTTTGTAGCCAAGATTAAGTGAAATTTAATAGTATTTTATCAATTACCACTCATGCTGAGAGATTCGACTATCGGTCATGCATAATCTTAAGTAGATTCATGCTATTATTCAAAACCGAATTACAACTAGGCACCTTATTTTTGTTCTTTCTATATATATATAGATAAGCTGGGTTCCTATCTTGCATCAAGGTCGGATTATTATATTCGATAAATTTTTTGATAGAAAAAAGGATCCATACATACATCTTATCTTGGTTCTTTGGCTATAATATTCGACTATTCGTAAATATATTTTCTCATTGACTTGATAACAACGGTAAAAAAAAATAGGACCGATAAAATAATTTTAACAAGAATACTTAGCTCTTTTCCTATGCACAGTACAAAATGGTGCCTATAGGAAAGTTGCTACTGTTTATAGCAGATAATAAAAGAATTTTTCTGGCGTTTATAGCGGGTTTGTCGGATTTATTCCGTCTATTTTTTTGTCATATCTAGATTCTGTTGTCAAAATTAGAAGGCATTCCTCCTTTTACCCTATAATATTATGCTTGATCTTCTTTATCTTCGCAACTTGTCTGGGAGCTATAAGGCAAATAAAGGCAATGTACAGCTTTCACAATATTCTTACGCACATTTCTTATCTTGGATTATTGTCCCGTTTCGCTGCAAGGCTGGGGAATTTTAGTCGCTTCATATAACACGGGGTAGCTAGGAGAGGATTTTAGTTGTCGCATGTGTTCTTTTGACGCGAAGCTTGTACTTGTATTTTCTAAGCTATCTACCATAATGTATTTACGCCAAGCCCAAAGATATTAGCTGATCGGTTCTCATATGAATAGGATTAAATAGCAATTATCAAGCTTTAGAGATGTCGATGCTACAGATAAAAGCGCGTAATTTAGCCTTATCTCTTTCTAGTTTTAAAAATTTCTGGTTATAAATTTATCCTATCTACGAGTGCATACAGAAAACCTGGCTGGATGTAACTTTTCGCGCTAACGAAACCTTTAAGCTAAATTTAGATTTTTCTGAGCTTGACAGCCTGAATGAATTTCTGATTCCAAAACCAGAATTTTGATTATGTCTGATTGTTAAAACTATCACATATCGACGAAGTCTGTCTTTGATCTTGGAATGAAGTTAGTTTGCCACAGGACTCAAAATTCCAATATCAACTAGCTATTTATAAGTGCGACTTCTTATCGGTGTTGCACATTTAGAGGGTTATTATTTATCAAAATATATACATATCTGACTTGTTCCCATTTATAAACAGGCGATAATATACGTTATTCTGTACCAAAAGCATGTACATAAAGATATTTTCAATCGAAGGTATGAAGACCAACATGTTGTGGCCTTTTGTGGGGTCGCAGTCTCCTTTCGTTGTATAGAAGTTGTACTGCTTGCTTTGACTAGGTTAAATGTTGAACCACAACATTTGTGGGTTTGCACAAACAACTTCTATACAACGAAAGGATACTGCGACCACACAAATGGCCACACCATCTTGGTTTTCATGCCTTCCCTAAATTATCTCGTAGAAATGAAGTCCAAGCTAGTGTGGCCTTAGGTTTGGCTGCAGTCACCTTTAACTGTATAGCGTTGGTTCGACTTCATTTTCGCAACTTTACTGGAGCAATAGGGAGACCTTGTGGAAGATGCCTTGTCTTGCGCCCTACTACCATAGTATTTATGATAGCTTTCAGCACAGAACCATTGATTCGGTACCATCCCCAGACGTTTTTCCAGCATCGTAGTCGGCATCAATGAAAGTCGCCATCCTTGTCAACGTGACAAGTTATGACAATCCCTTTGATCAATTTGTTTCTCAACCTTTGTTGTACCTCTGTTCCATATCTTTTAACCCTAATGCTTATTGCCCATTTACCTATTCAAATTCTTCTGTGTTTTCGTTGGCTTCAGTGCTGTCTAAGAGTATGTCATTTCAGTTGGGTTTAGCCAAGTGTAATAATATTCACCACTGGTTTCAGTTGCCGTAACCTAGGCTTGTGACTTTTTTTAAGACCCTCTTCCGACATTTTCCTTCAACCATGATGATGTTACCGAGCCTTTGTCTCTCTAGACCTAATTCTTACAGAAACTTAAGATCAAATCAAGAACTTTCTCTTACATTATATGAATACTCACGTCAAGAACAAAATAATATGATTTTATTAGTTGATCTTATGTTAATGTTTTTCGTGCTTGAGCGTGTGGGTATACATGTAGATCAAGGTACCAAAGCACTGCCATTACTCTGAATAATTAGATCATAATATAACATCAGTCCCAAGTCTTCATAATTTGATTATCCAAGAAAACTCCTGACGTTGACTGTGATTTCGCCTGGCCGAGTTAATTAACTTAATATGTTTAGAACATATGTGAATATGGTTAGAATCATAATCAAGCTGAGTCGTTGAGTCGCCTTTTTTGGCTGACACAGCATCCTTTCATCCTTAGGCTAAGCAAGAAGACGAATAATTCTTGCCTAACTTCCCTAGTCCTATTCTTTTCATTCAACGTACTCCCTGCTAATTTTGATAACTTTTCTTATTTTGTTTTTAACAGCCGAAGTACTATAATCAACAAACTAGTGAGTTTGAAACCATTTTATCTAGTGCCTAGCTTCCTTCATGTGTTCAGACACTTTACAAGCCTTTTCGAGCACTTTTGTACTCAGCTAACCTTTGACGAATGTGGCGTCAGGTTTCACTAACATTAGGACTATACCGTGAGCAAACAATTTTGGGGCAGTCGAATCTTGAGTATAGGCCATTTTCTCTTTAAAAGTTAACACGACTGAAGATAGGTCCAAACTTTCTCTAAAGACTTTTTTCATTCCATATTTCCTTATTACTTTGCCTGCAGAAGTCTAAGAATTAATTTTAAAATGCAAATAAAGCCCTAAATTTAAACATTCTGGGGCATACCAATTATCAACGAAACAGCAATACACAACGCGATTCAAGCATAGGTTTAATCTGAAAGGCATTTTAGGACTTTAAAAATGTATGCGATGCATTCACCATATTTCGTGTGAGGTGATGAAGGACTGGTAATTGCATTTCCCCACAATGATATGAATAGAGCTGACGTTTCCATTGAATTTCACATGGCCTTGCTTTCCCAAAAGGTGTTCTCATCCAGAGTGGACTGAAGTTTCGACCTCGCCTAAGTATTATCAACACTTACATTACAATCTTTTTGACAATTACTTTAGAGATATGAGCTTGCTTTGAATAAAAATATCAGCGCTCTGAAAAATTTAATCCTAGATAAACTCGGCTCAATCGGTTCTGATAAATTTTAGCCTTCTGCCTCTCTTTCCCCAGTTCGTCATTTATCTAAGGA